AGCATAAAGGTAAAAAACTATATATGCAATGTTATCTTCATTTTAGATGTCAAAAGGGTTTTGTGGCTCCCGGTGTTTTTTTTTGCTGTGGGAAACAGGTCCAAATGGCTCTTTGAGTGTTTAAGGTTACTGACCCCTGGTATAACCAAATGGCAATTTATGGATTCTGTCCATTTACAATGTATGCAAGTTTGCAAATAATTTTAAAAAATGAAACGGATTCTTTAGATATAAAATATATAACAACCATAGTTTACCAATAAAATATGTCCTCTTCTGTGCTTCCAGTCTTTCGATCTGTCTGTGCCTTTATTTGTTTTATAGGCTTGAAAATGTAATCTTCAAACCTCTGACTGCTTGATCTACTATGAACCCATGCTGCTCAGTTACCATGACTCTAATGGAACATTTCTGGCTACAGAATAGAGATATACAGATACAACTTTGCATCAGTCAACTTTGTTTGACCCCCACTTTTATATTTCAACAACCAGGCAAGCATCAACCTGACTTGCATTTTCAGCTGAAGTGCAGGGAATGATGGGAACTGAATTAAAGGAAGAATTACAATAATTAAACAAAGCAGGGTGATCATTAAACTATCAAATATAATTTCTCAAATTGTTAAGCGAGTATGTATTTTTGCTAAATTGACTTTGTAACTAAGTAACTAAGAGGCCTGTCAGCCTGCACACTACTGTAAAGTTGAACATAAGCATATGGTTATGCAGGCGCGATCCGACCCAGATTTGAATCAAACAATTTGTGCCATCAGTTATTGGTATCATCACCCACATTAGCTCCCTTTCTACTATCCTTGAACCACACATACAGGTTAAACTCGAATAATTAGAATATCGTGCAAAGTTCATTTATTTCACTAATGCAACTTAAAAGGTGAAACTAATATACGAGATAGACTCATTACATGCAAAGCAAGATAATTCAAGCCGTGATTTGTCATAATTGTGATGATTATGGCTTACAGCTCACGAAAACCCCAAGAACCCCCAAATCCACAACCTCAAAAAAGTAGATTATTACATGCAATCAATAAAACAAGGATTGTACATAGAACAATATCGGACCTCTGAAAACTACAAGCATGCATATGTACTCAGTACTTGGTTTGGGCCCCTTTTGCAGCACTTACTGCAATTACTTTTGCACGATATTCTAATTATTAGAGTTTCACCTGTATGTATGTAACATATTTCCCAATTCAGTTTACAGTGGTATGTGCCAGTTCCTGTGCATTGAGGGTTAAGCATAATAATCAGTGATTACCTCTGGCCAAAATGCATGCAGGATGAGTGAATGTACAGTATGTGCTAGAGGTTTCAGGATGTGTACGTATTTGACATTGAGTTACAGAGCTGGGCAACCGGTAGCTACCAGCTGCTGCATACGCTTAAGGCACATGGGCATTCTGTCAGTAACGTGTCATGCACATCACATGGAACACTCTGCCTGGTTCATGAAAAGCATATGGTGCAATCTACTTTGGACATGATTATAGCATGGGGTACTCTGTCCAGATATGGCAAATACATTGAGAATCCTGCCAGGTACATGGAAACAACATGAGTTGCTTCATCATGGACATGGTGGCTGCTGCATGGCCCACTCCATTAGAGACATAATATAATGACCACTTGCTGTACTTTACTATTAACTAGGCAATTGACATGCAAACCACACAGGCACACTGGCATGAACATGGTAACTGCATAGACACCCTGACATATTCAAGTGTTCCTCATGTTGGCATACTAATGGATACTGACAGTGCCAAGTTCTTTTTATTTAAAGACACTAAACCATCATTTAAGGAACTAAGGTTTTCAAACTGGTCCCATAGGGAAGAATCAACGATTCAGAAAGAATGTATTTTCATTAAAAAAATGTATTGTTCCCCAGAGATAAGACTAATATCAGGGATGCCTGCAAAAGTCATAAAAAAGCCTGCTCCCTTGAGTGATCATGCATGCTTATGCTATGATCATCCTACAGCATGATTATGTTACAGTCATATGTTCCAACTGCAACCTTTTGGAAAAACACCCTAAATAAATATCAGTTATCAACACTATTAAGTAAAATAGCTGCATATCATGGGGGATGCGGACAATCAAAGTTGGCAACATTCCTAGAAAACTGAGAGAACACTTGCAATAGTTTAAAAGGCAGCCACTTGTTGCAGAACTTGTATGCCACATCATACAAGTTGGTACAGCATGAAAACTGAGAGAACACTTGCAATAGTTTAAAAGGCAGCCACTTGCTGCAGAACTTGTATACCACATCATACAAGTTGGTACAGCATGGCAAACTGAAAACTAGGGAGCCTACCAAAAGAAAAGACACTTGGCAACGACTCTGACAATATGTAGGCGTCTGCTTCTGTACTGCTGCTCTCTCTCCTTATGCAGGGTGACTGGTCTTGTAGTGCTTGAAGCATTCTTTCTGACCTAACCAGACCGCAGGCATTGATGTGCCTTGCATTCCCGTGCGGCCCTCCCGCCCCACAACAAAGTGAGTCGTCCGCAATGCGATCCAGTGCGTTGCGGCCCCGATCGGGCCGTTTGTGTCCCTGTTAGAGAGATTCACCCTCTCTATTTGTACTGATGACCATAATTACTAAAGGGAAAGAGAAAATCACATTTTGGGTTATCAGAACAGGAATAGATGGGAAATCTTCCAATGGGGGCACTAGTTCTGGTGACCCTGCTGACCACCAGGGATCTCCCTCTCTTTGGAGGGATTTCCTCTTACTTCCTGTTGTGGCTGTCAGGCAGGAAGTAAAGGGAAATCTCCCCAATGGAACAGAGATGGCAAAAGAGATCTGACAGGGGTTATAGCCCTCCCTTGCTCTATTCAAAACTGAAAAAAAAATGTTTGACTTCAGTTCTAAGAAGTGCTATCTTCACGTTGGAAATTCTTCTATGAATGGTTCTTTCACTGCGCTTAAAATATTGCACATAAGTCAAAGGAATCTGCATCTACATCTAGAGTGCCGTAACTGTAAACTTGTCAGAGTTCTGCTCGTCTATGACCACCCTAAGTGAAAGTGACAACAAGTAGTTATGATGATAGACAACAAGAGCATTGGTGTGCAGTACCATTAGAAGTTAGCCAGATGTAAGCCTTTATCAACTCAGAGTAAATGGAAAGTTCTGATTGGCTGTAAATAGTCACTGCTCTGCGCACATTCCTTGCTGCATCGCTAAAAAAAAAGGGGCTTCTTTACGTGTATGTGGTTAGGCTGCGCATTATTTCCCTGCAAAATGATATGTAATGTAATATATACTGATATCAAATGTATCTGTAATCTCTATAATGAGCACATTTCGCAGGAATGTCTTTACTTTGTACCTCATGGTCATTTTTCTAGTTGCTGTTTTTAATTATATGACGTACCCACAGCTTTTATGGAGACCGAGATCTTATTCTGTAGCCCCCGCCACCCCAGACCGCTCGCCTCTGGCCCTGAACCTTGGGCTGAAATTTCCCCCACCCCACAAAACATCCACAGTCATAGCTAAAAAATGTCAAAAAATAACAAGAGGCCTCATAACAGCAGTAGAAAACACATCATAGGCTAGCTCAGCCTTCATGAAACTACTTCAAAGGTCAGAACAAAGCTGGAGGAGAATATCTATATGTAACTTTCATGCTGTATAATAGCCACTGGGTACACTGACACTAAGCATTAGTAAAAAATAACCTAACTACATGACCGATAGGAAAATATGTAATACAGAGTTTACAAGGTCTATTTTATGTACAAATGTAATCTGCGCAGTTTCACAAAAAGAAAAGCAATACAGATAAACAGTAATGAATGTATCTAAGTTTTGGATGGCACCTTCTCGAGACATCTTTAGTTAGAGCAACCAGTTTCTTTTGAGAGGGAAAAAAAAGTGTCTGTGATGCCTACAGCCATCAATCGTATCCCAGCTATAAGTTTTCAAGTTCACATAAAAAAAAAAAAAAAATCAAATGTCTGATTGGTTGCTATAGGCAAGTGTTAAAAGGATGGGTGTGATGCCTCACTAAAGTGCCGAAAGTAAATCTCTAATTGTGTGCTATGGGTTAATGGATGTTAGTACCATGTTTTATATAAATTCCAAAATATAGCTCAAATGTATCAGCCTACAATTCTCAATTCCATAGCCAAAGGTGATATAAAGAAATGGGAACTGCTATATTTTTCTGCCCATATGGGAAAATAACATAGAGATTTAAGACAGTTTTGGATAAATTTGTAAAGTCAAGAGTCTCTAGAGTCAAGGGCTTTACGGCTTTAACATAGTCCTTTAAAGGGAAGAGAGAACAGTGCAGGTAACATGGATCTGTAGTTTTATCGATTAAACGGCGTACTTAGTCAACTCAATAACAGTAAATGGATAGTAACAATCTATGTCTGGAGGACTATGATAAAAGCAACACATGACCAATCCAATAATTTAAACATATATATATAGAGAAAACACAGCCAAATAAGTTAAATTCTTCTTGCATCTGCGTTCCTCTTTTAACTTTTAACCTGTATCACGTGAAACCTCAGCAGCTCGAAAATAAATCCATTTGATACGCTGACTTTGATGTAGCAAAAATATCATTATCGTAAAGCAAAAATAGCACAGAATAAATTAAAGTGAACTGCGGAAAAGCAAAAGAAGCAAGCTTATTTAATAGGACAGTGCAAAATATGCATCCTATAGAAATTCACCTTCCATCAGTTTAGGGCAGTCAAGGGACATGAAAGATGACTGCTGATTGACTGTCAGCTACCGCACTTTGCACATTGTCAGTTATCCGTAATCCCAAAAGGTGCTCGTCATGTATAACCCATAAAAAAATCCCAGTAAACTCCAAGTTAAAAATTCCCACTTAGCCACAGAGCTGACAGCATAGCTTGGCAAGAGAGTCGCTTTTAACTGTACAGTTAAGTTACACAACTTTCAGAGATGTGAATAACCCCAGGAAGGTCTTACCTTGGCTGGCCATGCTGAGATTGATGTGGCCGTAGAGAAACAGGAACAAAAATAAAGTGTATACCATGTCCCATTGTATGTCCATGGCAACGGTTCTGTGCACTCTATTACAGTAAAAATACATATTTTGGCAACTTTACAGAAACAGAAAAAGTTGAGCTACTAGGTCAGAACCCCTGTCTATTCTGCTGTCAAACATGATCTGCCAGAACATCCAAAGCTATAAAATTCTGCTGCAGCATTTTTAATTTAAAAAAAAATCAGCACATAAATCCAATCAAGTGAAGAAAAGTGCCATATTGTTTAGTGGTACCTTGGTAACAATTAAGTTTACTTTTGTGGCATTTTTGCTTTTGACCTAACTCTGCAGTGCCGTTAAAACAAAAAACGTTTTCTCTGCATTGTAGCTGTAGAAAAGTAGTAATTCAATCATGGAAAAAAAAAATGCGATGATAAAATTACTTATCAGTTTGGATGCTGGCAAAATTCAAACCATTTTTCAAAAAAAGGTAATAGAAATGCAGGTTTGTAACTCCTACATAACAAAAATAAGATAAAAGTAGATCTGTAGGGTACTGAGACAGAAGAAGTGTTGTCTGTTAAAAAAGAGCCTGTATACTGAAAAGATAGAGCAAAACCTCCCCCCTCACCAGCTGCAACACACAAAGGTTCCTGCTTGGAAAGGAGGAAGGAGAGTGGAGAAGGAGGGAGGGAAAGAGGAGGGGGACCAAGATGAAATGGGGGAAAGGAGGGAGGTATGCTCCTCCTATACAGTTTTGCTTTCCATAGATGCTCTAGCATTTCTCCCCTCTCTGGATGTTAATTGGGCACTAGATTGTCAGCTCCATGACTCTTTCCTTTAAATTCAGATGGACTGGTCTTAAGCTTGTGGATGGTCCATTTCCCTACTAACCCTATATTTTATTCCCCCCTTGAAAATATACACTGGATAGAAGATTGTCAGCTCTTAGCTGTGTGTTGCATATTAATTATACTGTCAACTTCGGTTCTCCTCCTTGTTGAATATATATTAGATTTCCAGCTATGCTTGCTCCCTCTTTTTTTTAGCAGGGTGCAGCTCTGTGTGTGGCTAAAAACCTTTTTTTTCCCTAAGTTTTATTTACCATTCAGTATTTGCCAGGAGAAAAGTTTTACCTGTCATGTTCAAACTAGTTCTAGCTTTGGCTTGATCAAAAAGGGAAAAAAAAAAGATATGATTATATAAAGCCAAGATGAATGGATACAAAAAAAGTGTAAATTCCCTCTTGATTTCAGTGTTTGTTTGTATTGCTTCATCTGCAACAATAAGAAAAGCAAACACGTTTTTCCAGATGCTCCGCTCTTTATTTTATTTGAAGATGGGGCAATAGTTCAAAAGAGGTTTTAGACTTTTTTTAAATGTAATTAAGGTTCATAACTAATCATACTCGTCGCAGTGTGCCCTGATGCTTTTAACATGACGTTGTATAGGCAAACAAATGATGTTGGGAAGAGTGGAGATGGTTACAAATGGTTACATTAAGCAGTTTGTAATGTGTGGGATGCACATAATAATGCAGTGCAACACCAAGCTCAGGGGAGATCTGCCACGGGCAGAGGGTAAAGGTCACGGGAAGAAGAGGGAAAGACTGATTCTGCAGCTGATTCTAATTACACATTTCCTTTACTTGATTAAATATGATTGAAAGTGGACGACATAGGGCACTCGTTTCAGCAGGCCATTTTAATGGCTAAATAAGGGGGGTATGCTACGTGGTTACTGGGGGAACCTATACAAATGTATGGTTTATATTAAAAGGAAAAACACCTTTTAAATAATAATCCTTTAAGTTTAGGCTAATTGCCTCAGAAGTTATCAGGGGTTCTACAAGTTAGCTTTAGGTTGCATTACAGTAATGTAGAATGTAATTCATATGGTGATTAACTGTATTGTGCACATGCCACCCGGATTACTCAGCATTTTCAAAGATTTAGCATTGACCATAATAGGTCTGTGTCTAAGGGCAGCATGGGGAGCCACTTTTCTTTACACAATTTGTTTGTTAGAGAAAACTGAAAGTTTATCCACAGAAAAAAATCTGCTATGTAAAAGGAGCAGAGTAGTAAGATCTATGTAGAAAATGTATGTATGAACAGGATATAGGGTGCCCAGAGAAGGTGTGTTAACAGAGTCTTGTACCATAAAGAGAACCTATGCTCAAATGTTAACTGAAAGCAATGTCAACAATCTTGCTGGGATAGATAAATAAAGAGTAATAGAATGGCTGAAATACTGATCATTCTTGGAGAGGAGGTTTTCACAAAAATCTAGGCTTCTGCCAAAAGGGGTGATCAGAGTTCACATTTAATAAAAATGACATGGCCAAAATGTCTAGGCCTTTGCTTATGTGAGCAAAACCATAGGGAAGCTGACCCTGCAGTTTCTCCAGTATAGGTAAGTATTTTAGCCCTGCTATTACACTTTGCTTATTCATCCCAGAATGATTGTTAGTTGTTGAAATTATAAAAGTTGTTGTAACTTCAAAAGTTGTTTTCAATATTTTTCAATCTGCTAGTTTTATTTTTAAAAATGACGTGATGTTCAGGCACTTCCCTTTATGAGGTGACAACTGTGCTCTCGCATTGTCAACCTGTCAAACGCACTGGCATGATTTACCTTTGTCACCATCAGAAAGTCAGTCCAGAGCAGTCATTTGCAGCTGTCACTAAGGCCTTGTTCACACCAAATGCAGAGCAGATCTGCATGAGTTTCTGCACACGCAGTGCAGTGGGTTGTGCCGCGTTTTTTGCCGCGTTTTTGATGCATTCTGGGCCGTTTTTGGTGGGGGAAAAAAATGTTTTTTTTAGTTTAAAATGGGCTTTCAGTGGGTTCCAGGGGGTTTGCATGCGTTTTTAATGCATTTGCATGCGTTCCAGAGTAGGTCCAGAGCAGGTAAAATAGGGCCTGCTGCAGTTTTTTGACCTGCTCTGGAACGGAACGCTGCTATGTGAACTGGAGCTAAAAATACCATTGGAATACATTGGACGCAGTTTTGCTCCGGTCTGTAACTGCTCTGCTCTGCTCCTGGAACACGCTTGGTGTGAACAAGGCCTAAAGGAAGTGCATGTAGGTAGGAAATGGCTGAGAGAGGCCAGAGGAGATCAGCAGCACTGAGATGCGAAAAAGGATAAAAAAAAAGATGAAAACAGCGTTTAAAAAAAAATAAACATGTCAAGTGGTTATGATATAATAAACATTAGATATAATAATAACTTTGGCATATTAAATGTCATCTAGTTGGAGTTTACATGTACTTTAACAAAGCAAGCAAAAAATCTAGTGAAACTGTAGAATATTTGTACTTTCAATTTGGGGAAAAGCTTTTGTTTTAGTTTAACACAAATGTGATTATTTGTGGGTGGATAAGTTACTTGGTCTTGGTATATAAGGATTTTCTATGCTTTGTTCATTGTATTTTTTTTTTTATTTAAACAATGTACTTCCACATGTTGTCAGTTGCTTCCTATTTCCTAGCACATAAAGGGAGATGTAGGGGTATAGTACAAAAAGCAATTATGAAATATCACAAATGTTTGCAATAGATCTGTTTGTTACTCAACATCTAAGTCAGCTTTTGCGTCCTTCTGACTAATACATTCAGTCACTTAGCAGACATCTAACACCTACACAGAAAATGAATGGCATTTGTAACTGAAAAGAACAGAAGGGCAAAAACTTAAACTTACAGCTTTGTATTGTGCTCTACACTAGCAGATATCTACTTCTGGAATATTTCTAAAATCATGAGCTAACTGGATACACTACTTACTGCATTCATAATTGACAAAAAAAATATTACACCCATGTTTCTAAAAAGAAGATTTTTGTACTTACCCTAAGGGCAGGTTCTCACCATTTTCTGGACCAGATCTGGAACGCACTGCGTTGCATTTTTGATGCTTTTTTGACGCATTTAATTTTAGGTCTTGCTGGGGGACCTCTGCAAGACCAATAGATAGCCAGGAAAAGAGCAGCACAATGCTTGCACATAAGAGACATGAACTTACCACAGTTGTTCTTTTCAGAGCTGCTCAAATGATCATAGCCAGGGACAACCTGGGCAGCAATGCCTCTCCACTTGTCCATCTTCCTATAATTTTTCTTATATTGCCCATGCCTCGGATCATACAGATACTGGGCACAAGTTCTACAAAGAATTCAGTGTCCACTTCAGCCATCATGGTTCCTACCTTCACAAATCTCTCTCTCCATAGAAGCAGGAAGTCCAGGGGTGATGAGATTATCCAAACCAGCCCCCCCAAAAATGTTCCCATTGCGTTGCGTTCCAGTGCATTTTTGACGCATTTGTGCACGTTCCGTGTGTTCCAGACCAGACAAAATGTGGCATGCAGTATTTTTCAGGTCTGGTCTGGAACTGACTAGGATGGTGTGAACTGAGGCCAAGAAGAGCATAGGGAAACATCGGGGTGCATTTTAGGTCCAGAAACAATCTGGTCTGGTCTGGAGTTGATCTGCTGGTGGTGTGAATGGGCCCTAACATCTTTCTGGGTCATGGGAATTGTAGCTAACCTTAGACTGATGGGACAACCAAAAGCAATCCACTGAGAAGTGGTCAACAGCCACTGAAAAAGTAAATAGATGTGAAATCTTATTAGAAGCATATCTGAAGCAATCGATGCCTGAACAAGGCTAGATAAAATAGTGAGCAAATATGGAAATTACTACTAACAAGGAAAGGCACCAAGAAAGAAGCAGATGTTTCAGAGCAGAACAGATAGCAGGGAAGACTGCTAATCTGAAAGAATGTTAGATAGAAAAAAACTGCGCTAGGAATCAAATAACACTCTAAGAGCAACTGTGCTTAATAGGTGAGTACACCCAAAATAGGAAAATGCTATTTTCTTTTTTCCTAATCTGAAAGAATGATGAACTTCAACAATTATGTGCAGGAAAACCAAGCAGCTACCATACAGAAATAAAATGCTGGAAGAAAACATAGACCAAAAGCAAAGGTTTTTATAAGGTACAGGCCAAAGCCTAAGATATCTAACCCTTGACCTCAAGGAAAGGAATGTTGGACAAACAAATGATGTCCTAGTCCCCGGTGGTACTACCACATAGGACTCTATGCTTTCTAATGCTCGTCTTCACTGCCTCTATCTTTACGTGATTCTCGTCTATTTTGTGTTGTCTTACTATTTGTCTTCGTTTATTTGATGGTGATACCTCATACCAAGCTCTAAGCCTATTGAGTTCGAGATACCGAACTAAAGGACCATCCAGTTTGTATAACCATTCCGTTGTAAAATTAATGTTCACCTCTCACTCTTGATGTTTTGATGTACTATGCGGGACTTTCCAACATCGTGGTCCTTTACTGTACCATCTATGGCTGACTCAGCTTGGATTACTTGAGGTGTATGATCCTATTGTATGTAATTTTACTTTTTCTTTCATTCATTAAAAATCTTAAATGGAAAACAAATGATGTCCTGATCAAGGACCAACCAGTGACCAGCTGGAGAGTAAAGTAGTTCAGGGAATAAGAGATGAATAATATAACAGCCTTTCAATAGCAATTTAAAGGGACATAGGGAAAAAAACCTTAAAGGCGAAACAAAGAAAGATAGAATACCAAGTGTCTTTTAAGG